CCCATCCCTCCTCTCAAAGAAAAGAAGATGAGAAAGCAGAACCAAAACCAGCCGGAAATCATGATGCTGAGCACTACTCAGACACCCCAGCACAGCACTGCACAAGGAGGCAACTGAGCCCGTCGTTCTGGGCTCTTCTTTTAGGCTTATCTTGAAAAGCAGAATCACAGAATCATTAAGGTTGGAAGAGACCTTTAACATCATCAAGTCCAACCATCAACCCCACACCACTGTGCCCACTAAACCATGTCCTGAAGTGCCACGTCTACATGTTTTTTGAACACAGTGATGGTGACTCCACCACCTCCCTGGGCAGCCTTTTCCAATGCCTGACCACTCTCTCAGTAAAGAAATTTTTCCCAATACCCAGTCAAAACCTCCCCTGGCACAACTTGAGGTCATTTCCTCTAGTCCTATCACTTGGGAGAAGAAACCAACACCCATCTCGCCACAACCCCCTTTCAGGTAGTTGTAGAGAGTGAAGAGGTCTCCCCTCAGCCGCCTCTTCTCCAGATTCAACACCCCCATTCCCTCAGCCTCTCCTCAAGACTTGTGCTCCAGACCCCTCACCAGCTTCGTTGCCCTTCTCTGAACATGCTTGAGCACCTCAATGTCCTTCTTGTAGTGAGGGGCCCAAAACTGAACACGGGATTCGAAGTGTAGCCAAAAAACACGCAGATACATGTTTTATGCCTCTCTCTGCTTTGCCAAAACGGTGCAAGCTCTAAACAAGCCTCAGAGCCGGATAACATGAATAATGGTGACTGGGACGTTCATGATGCTCATTGTCATAGTTTAAGGGGTTTAATCTCATGGGAAACGGTTAAGACAAGCAATACCCTGACACGAGCCATCTCTAGGAAATTCTTGACGCTGCTACAAGATGATGCTTGAGTTATTACCTGTGAAGAGTTTACTCCCAAGTCACTACCAAGTCCTGTAACATTTATCACTCAGGGCCAAAAGAGGGAACAGCGAGACCCCAGTAGTGCTGGGCTTGTTGGAAAAGGCTGTGCTGGGAGCTGCCCTGCGTCCTGCTAGGACATACGGTAAACACAAGCTCAAACAATCAGTCTAAAATCCTGTCCCCAGCTACCCAGTTTGAACAGCACATGAGTTTTTAAAGGACTGGCCCAAACACTACAAATCTCTCCATGCAGCTGCACAAGCGACTTTCCTCCTGTCTCCCCACTTTGGCCATGCCGAAATCTCACCTTGTGCTCTTTCTGCCTTCTCCCCATGAAATACAAACCGCTTCTCTTTGCCTTGAAGGTCTAGCTTCTCTCCATCCTCACCTCTAATTCACCCCTAAGCGTATGGGGAGCATTTGGGATAAAAGCTTCAAGAATGCATTCGACATAAATTATTATTCCCCTTCTAAACGGATTACAAAAATCCTTTTATTACAAAATATTAAAATGTTCAAATTATTGGTGTGGAAAAATGTTTCCTGGAGGTAAAGTTTTTAAAAATTGAGGTTTTAATCACAAGCATAATCCTTTCTGGCTAACATTTCCAGTCTTGTGAAACATCTAGATACAAATTGTGCAGAGGCCTGACTGTGCTACGAACAAAGGAAGATGCTGCCTGTAAATAGCTTAGAGGACATCAGAAGACACTTCTCTCATCAGCAATCTTTTTTAGCTTAATATAGCTCCTCTTTGCATAAAACATTGACATTTTTGCAATGTTTGGACCAAACGGTGCGAATGCTGATTGTCATCCGAGGATACTAGAGAGTACCTTCAAAAATATGCAAGAACATTTTACAGACAGCCTCCCAAAATGCTGTATCTTAATATTTCATACTTATATATATTTAAATGTTAGTACCACCGGATAAATGCTAACATGCTTTTATGCTAATGCAATCACTGAAAATCCAGATAATGTTGTGTATTGGCATATACTGTTAGTGAATTATGGATACCTAAATGTACAATCCCACATGCCTAGCAATTATTTTTGTTAGTGCATTTAACTTTTATTTGCAATCAGAGCACTTGAGGATTGTTCAAATGAAGTTTACTTTTGCAAACTGCTGAATGGAAAACACTTTGTTAAAGGTTTAAAAACAGTAAGACTGTGATGGGGTTTTAGAGTTGCAATAAGGGCACCGCTCAGAAAACTCTACCAGATGGAAAGATGTTTGATTTGGTCACAGACTCGGCGATTAAAACCCAAGTGCCTAAAATGAAGGGCATATAAGAGAAACAGGAGATGAAATCTTGATTTCTTCCACATCAGATCACCCTCTTCCATGGCAGAGACTCACAGATAGAGACAGATGGATGCCGGGAGGACAGCGTCCGTGCAGGCAGCACCCTGGCAGCTAGACCCTGAGCCTTGAGGACCAAACTCTGCCAGGCTAAGGTGGCTTTCCAAGTCCAGTTTAAACCAAATAAGTAAGAGCAATATCAGGAGGGAGAAATCCTGAGCTGCCCCTGCTGTGCCTTCTCCTCCTCTTTCTCCTCCTACTGCCTTTGCTGATCCAACGTCTTGGCCAGCCACCTGGCTCGTTGGCTCAAGATGCTGATCCACTTGAAAACCCTTTTACCCTAAATCAGTTTTCAGCACAGCTCGACCTCTGGGCCAGGTGCCAGCCAGACTGTGTGCAGGCAAGACCTGGGTGATGCAGCTGGTTGCTCCATCCCTTACCTGCTTCACTACCACATCAGAGTCAAGGACAATGCAAACCTGGAGAAGACCTGGATATTTTTAACAGTTGAAAAGTTCTGGATGTGACCCAAGCACGTCTGAGACTGCTCCAGGTCCAGTGGTTTTCTTCCACATAAAAAAACTTGCCTACAGACAACGCCAAACTCCCTCTTCCAGATTCAGTTACGCTAGGAGTTAATGACTTCCCGGGCTGGGCTGAGAAGCTGCTATGATCATGCTCTGATTTTCCTTCGGGAAGGTTTGCCCAGCTTGAAACCGCTGGCCTGAGCCAACCTGGCTGAAGAGACCTGGGAGGTGGCCACACACCCATTTGGTGAGCAGCAGACCATCACCTCTTGGCCAGGCATGTCTCAGCATCCAGTGTAGGGTCTGATACCAGCCCCAGGCACACAAGTACGGATCAGATGATGCTCCTACAGCCCAGCAAGCTGTGGCACCTCTGGGCATTTACTGGAAAGTCCTACCACCTAACTAAGGCCCCTAGGAACAACCACGAGTGAAGGAAATGAACAACAACCCCTCAGAAAAACACAAGACATCAGAAAATGCTTAGTGTGAAGTACTTGAAATGCCCCCGGCAGTTTAAATGGAGTACGGAGTAAGCTGAGAAAATGTATGAACAAACAAATTAAGCAGATAGCACAAAGCAGACGAGTTGGAATGTAGGTGTCTATTGAGAAAGCTTAAGCACAGCAAGGGGAAAAAAGCAAACCCAAAACCCAGGCATAATATTCCTCTCATTTTGGAACTAAGCTCTCAGACAATACATCATCCAAACCATTCAAAATTATCATCTGTCAGAACGTATTTTAAAGAAAAAAGGTCTAAAAGTTTCCAAAGCAGTATTTTAGTGTTGTCTTATTAGAAAAGAGATTGTTGCTGTCCAAAGGCATTTGCAATTAAGTGAAGAATACTATACAAAAGCATTAGTTTCATGGCCACTGCTACACACTTGTATCACAAGACAATTAGTTTCTTGATTCTTGTTTATGTCACGTTAGCTAAATCAGAAAAGAAGCGATTTAATAGCATCTGTCATTTCACAAACTACCCACAAACACTTCCAGAGCCTCTGCATGATTTTCTCTTTATGAAACATGTAATTAAGAGTCTACATGCTATTAGAGAACCTAAGGAAACAATTACAGTACTGTTTCAAACATTACGATATGCCAGAACATAGAGTGGGTCTGTGTTTCTGATGTGAAAGCATGTATCTTACTGTGATCAATAAATCAAGCTCTGTTTCAGACTATAAGTTGGATCCTTTTCAGGTGTATGTCTGGGTACCTGTTGCTGTCCATGAGGCCATAATACTTCACACATGCTGCAGAGCAACTGCATCATATAGAAGATTGCAAAAGAAATGCAGATTTCTAGACTATATATTAGACTGAGCAATAAATAATTTATAATGGTGGAGAAGGTGACCATCTTTTTAGGCATAGAAATACGCAGATATAACAGTCCTGGCTTTCAATCTTCACTCTGCACTTCTGACCTTGACGTTTGGGTCCATCCAGTGCATTTCTAAAGCCTCTGCACCTGAGAATGTGCAACACACACACCACAAAGCCCCAAAACCCATAAACCAAAAAGGGTACCAATAAAACCCATTAAGCCCACAGGGTATCACTTGCAGCACTACACACTATGCTCTAGGATGAGGTCAACTGGGCTCCCTTGGGCAACAGCTACCTTCCAATGAACCACAAACACCCTCCGGACTGGTCTCTTCTTGATTCAGCCTGCTGACCCCGTTCCTAACCCCATGTCTAATCAACACGCCTTTCATGTCAGATGCACATGGCTGTGGGGCTAAAATCCCCCCTCCAAAGACCATGGGAGTTGCTATTTTTCTGAAATCAGCATCTCACTGTCCGAAAGCAGCCTAGGAGAAAGGAACAGGAGGGAGAAAGGTGCTCCCTGGGGTGCAGGTAACTTCACCATCCTCCAGCTCTTCCCCCAGAGAGGCACTGCCAAGGGGAGAGAAGGCAGAATTTTTCCCCTTGGACATTGTAAAAAAAAAAAAAAAAAAAAAAAGGAGCCCAGGGAAATCAAGAAACAATCATAGCTTCCACATAGAATTACTTCTGGCTAAGTCTAACAAGCGGATGAGCACGCACTGAGAAGACCACCAGGGTAAGGAAGTGGTGCTGCAAGGAACGGGCTAGGCAGGGGAGAAGACAGTTTGGTTGTCGCAGGATGAGAGCTTTCAGCTCCTGCTATTAGAAATAAATCAAAAGAGACGAAGAGAAGCACAGAGCCCATCTGGTCTCCTGAGGTTCTCACCCTCCCACCTCAGGTGGGACAGAGCTCACCTGGACAGCGCAGCTCCCAGGACAAAGGCAGCATGCTCCTTCAGCGCAGCCTCAGTGCTGTTCAGCCCATCGATCACAAGCTGGAGTCCACCCATGGAGAGGAAGTCCTTGGCATTGTCCACCTGGGAGAGAGCAGGTCCCCATTGGTACAAAACCCCCCATCAGATTCCACTCAACAATTCTTTGAGAACCCCTTGCTTCAGAAAGCACAGCATTTCTCCCCTCCCAGTCTAACCAGCCCTGAGTTCTAAAAGCAATTAAAAATTAAGAGGGAACGACTGTGGCTTGAATTTTGTACAATACTGTCTGTGAGCAGTGGATGTCATGGTTGCAGAAGCACAGTCGACTGAGAGGCAGCTATTACTACATGGAAAAGGCATCGCTGAAAACTCAAATAATTTGATTAGCTATCAAAACTATTCTTGACACGTATTTTGGTAATTCAGCAACCTCTCAGCAGCAATGGTACACGGGCAGCATCACCTCTGCTCACAGCGAGGTGCATGGGCAGTTCTGGGTGTTTTTTCATGAGTACCATCAACAATTTCATGCGGACGTGAAAAGAAAAAAACAGTCCCTGCTCAGAAGGGTCAGCTGGGAGCTTGCCCTCGGGGAATGATTTTTCTGAGCAGAGCAATGATTTTTCTAAAGTAGATAATATTGGACTAACTGCCAGTAAGGAAAAGTTTAAACGTTAGTGAGGATTCATCCGTCTTTGACTTCAACCAAACTTAGCGCTAACCAGGCACAAATCACAGTGGGCATCTGTTCTCGGAGAAGAGATTAGAAAAGGGCTCCAAGTGGCTCACAAACAAAATTTAGAGAAACAGCGCAAAGTGCTTCAAGTACAAAATTCAGTCCAAAGTCAAATCAATGCATTTTGGTTTTCAAGGAATTTTTTTACAGTTTAAAAGAGAATCTGACGACGGCTCAGAATTGTGTGTGCAAAAGATTCGGGTTTAGAATTTCAACACTTCTCCTCTCTGAAAGACAGGGAGACAACAGCCTATGTTGGCGTATGGAAATAAAACATAAAAAGGAGTTATCAGCCGGGCAAACCAACCTCCCCAGCTTCAGCGAGCAGACCCCACCGATGGAGTGGGACAGGACAGACACCACAAGGCGTGCAGGGTATGTTGGGCTCAGGCACCGTGCTCCAGCCTGAACACTCTTTTAGTTGACATTGACTTCCTGCTCGGTGTTATTTTTCTCTCAACTGTGTACCTTCACCAAAATTGGTCATAAGTCAGATATTTTAGGTACCCAAGAGAATGAAGAAGCTACTCAGCTTTATGTCCTACGGGTATGTCTTTACCAAAGCAGCACCTGGGGAGCTACAGCTCATCTCTCCTCCCCAACGGGACAATACCCACCACTTGCTGTCCCTCTGCAAAGCTGGCGACAGAAAGCCGATCTCTGCAGGTCTGCTGGGGCTGATTCAGGATTTGCAGCAGCTTTTGTATCCTTTCAGAGCCTGTTCTTTTGACTGTCCCTATAAACTGGACCTGCCAGACCTCTTACTTTCTGCAGGCCCATCTTTGTCTACAAAGAAATCTATGCAGCAACCCAATTTCAGCTACCAGTCGGTCCTTTTATTGCTCAGCCTCTGTAAAAACTCCAAGGCTGTTCTAACGCTGGAATTGGACATTGACTTCTGCTCAAGCGGGAATGCATAGACAGGCAGAAGTTTGCATCCAGCACCAGTCATGGTAAAACCAACCATCGCTGTAACCTCATCAGCACCGGAGTCCTTCAGGCCAGCCCCAGCGTCAGTGAGACACCTCAACCACAGAATATAAATTGTGCTGTAAAGCTTATTTTGAAGTCTTTTTTTTTTTTTTTAACTGGAGTCTGTTGTGAGAGCTCCTTCCCCCACCATTTTAAAACCAACAAACCCCCCAAACTCAACAACTTGAAGGCATTAACCTCTCTGGGGAGCAGAGGATGCTGTGAGGCAGTAGCTCATGCCTTGCTTCAGTCCGCTGAAATGGGCACAGAAGAAAGCCAAAGATCACACGAGCTCTTGAGTAAAGTATACAGGCAAGGTGGGCGAGGAGAGGGATGGGCGAAGAGCAAATATGACAGCAGTTATTCAGGGAGCGGCTTTGAATTGGAGGAGAAAGAAAACGGGGAGGGAAGGCGAGAGAGAAAATGTTAGAAAATGAGCGCAAGGAAGAGCAGCGTGTCAACCATATGCAATGGAGAGCAAATTAGCAGTGAGAAATGGTGTAGCATGTCAGAGGAGGGGAAAGAGAAAGATAAGGAGAGTAAATAATTGAGAGAAAGAGCCTGCAATGCATGAGAACGGGTCTTGGCTCCACACACTGCTGTGCAAGCGCCGTGAATTCTGTTCATAAATGAGTTATGCTCTGGCCTCTTCACATTTGCATTTGGTTTTTATGCGTTACAGATAACCTAGCAAGCCAACCTTCCTGCTCCTTCTCCAAGATGGGCTCCCAAACATGCCAAGTTGAATCCTGACTGATGAGAAGCAAACCAGAGCAGGCAACCGAAAGCTGAGCAAACACAGAGCCCTTGGGCTGACTCTTAAAGACAGGAGAGAGCATGTCTCCCCCGGCTCGGCACCGGCCACGGCCTCCCCTCCACTCCCTCGCAGCGAGGTCGGAGGCACATGCTGCTTCACGTCACAGCACTCCGGGATGTTCATGACCACGCCGCGGAGCAGAGAGCATCCTTTCCTTGCAAACCCTGCAGGGCATGGCATTTTCCACTCGACAGGGTATTCTGTGCCCCGGAGGCAGCAACAGGACAGCTGGGAGCCGAACGATTATCAAAAGCTGTAGCATGTTACCACTCAGATGGAAGCTGGGGGAAGAGGCAGCAGCAGAGCCATCATCGGTCCCACACGTGGGTGCGCTGCCCTGGGCCACCCACACCTGCAAGGGTCCCTGTCCTCCAGCAGCACAGCTGTGGCTCGCCGCAGAGGACTCCTGACAGGAGTTATGCTCCTGGGTTATGCAGCACAAGCGTATTTGGCTGCTATTCAGTAATTACATTAAGCCAGTGCTGCTAAAGTCAGTACCAAGCAGAGATAATGCTCTGGACGCATTCAACTGGCTGGAAGAAGAAAGAGGAGGAAAAGCCATGCTGGCTTAGAGACAAGTCATATTTCTTATCAGCTTCCTGCCTGATGAGAAGGTGCTGCCCAGCCATCTGCCCCAACAGCACAGGCACAGAGCAACGTTGTGATTGATGCACAAAGGAGTCCTCTGTGCTCCCTGCCAGCCTCCCCGCCATTTCCCCCTTTCTGACCCCTTTGATGCTCGATGTGGTTCCCTTTGATGCTCCAGTCCCCACATAGGGAGCGGGGACTGCTGCCCCACTCCTCTCGCCTTTCTGAAATTGTTTGCCCCATCCTGTGCTGCAAGCAGGCAGGATTTTATGCTGGAATAGTTCAGACTGTTATGATGGAATCCAAAGCATCCCAAGGTGTTTGGGGGTTGCTTTTTAGCATGCTGGCCTGATGCTCTGGCACCCTTAACCAGGCAGAATTAGCCCGGAGTATAAATATGAAGCTCTTTGGGCACCTATTGTTCACACTTATTCTCTGAGTCAGACAGTGAAACAAAAGCATTGAGAACAAACAGTAAGGAAGCCTCTGCATACGTATGACAGAGATTTAGTTTGGAGATTCAAGACAAAGAGCCCTGGAAATAACACTTCTATTAGCTGGTGCATGGACTCCCTCTCTCAGCAGCACATTCCTTCAGGTACCTTCCCCCAAAGTACCACGTCTGGTTTTAAGAATTGCCTTTCTAGTGAGAGGTCTTGCACTGGCATCTCTCAAGGGTTGTCCCATTCACCGTCTGAAATGGTAAAGTCACTGAGAGCGACACTGGAAACTCTCCCAAGTCCAGTCCAGACTCTCACAGCCACTGAGGAGGGAGAAGCCCAGTACTCTCCCACAAGGCAGAACAGAACCTCAATGCCCAGACACCCACCCAAGCCACTGCAGCGTGAGAAGGCACCAAACACAAGGGAGGAGAGCGGTGTGCCCACAGCCTGCAACCAACGGGAGGTAAAAATGTGCGAGCTGAAAGCAGAGCAAGAGAGATCACAGGGAAGGGGGGAAAAAAGCGTGAGCATAAACCTGAGGAAGTGACATTTCAGGAAATATATTCAACCTCACACAGAGCTGATTAGCACAGCTCAGCTGATGCTTAGCAACTTGCCCTTCACCCAAGCCTTCAGTCATTGTCGCCACTGGCCCAGCTGCGAGAGAGGCTCTACGTGCCACTTCTTACTCATGCCGAAACAAAATACAGGTTTTTGGGTGGCTGTCGTCTTCCCTGGTACAAAGACATTCTCTGCAAACTGATGTAAGGGCACCTACCTGCAACCACAGAGGCTTTCCATGGAAGGAGCGAGAAAACAATTATTTTCCTAGCAGCCACCACTCTACTTACCCAAAAATGGCAGCTAAAACCCCATTTTGTAGCATTAAGCATATAAAAGAAGAAAAGGAGATGGCAAGGAAAAAAAACCTGAGCACAGACAACAAATCAGGCAGCACTAACCCCTAGGAAACTGCTCACTACTGGCACAAGCAATGATTTATTCAAACTTGGATATAAAATAAGCCTGCAATAGCCCTCTGCTGTCTGTTATTGTCCCAAGATTATGATAATTAAGCAATTTGTATTACCTGATACCGATAAGAAAAATAAAACCACGTTTATGACACTGTATCCCCTGGATTTTACATGGTAGTTACTAATGCATTTTTGTTACCTGGTGAACATAATATTCAAGATCATAAAGCGCTGCTACTTTTTCATCCAGCGTGGAGGCAGAGCTGTTGAATTTGCTGATTAGTTTAACCATAATTTCATAATCTGTTTCCATCTTCACATTCAGCTTTTCAAACTCCTCCTTCAGCTGCTCTATGGGCCGGAACTTCTTCCTCACCTCTTCCTCGTGGGCCTTGAAAGCAGAAGAAGGAAACAGGTATGAAGGCAGGCGATAAAGATAGCCAAGAAAGACATAAAAAGAAACTCCAGCCCCAAATTTACAAAGGGAACCTGGTTGTCTAAGCAAATGGATTTGCTGCTGCACATCAGAGACGTAGGGGCAGCACTGGAGGGTCCTTCTGAGAAGCCCAGGAACCCACTTCGAATCACAGAATGGTTTGCGTTGGAAGGGACCTTCAAAGGCCATCTAGTTCAACCCCCTGCCATGAGGGTGCCCACACCTTCAACTAGAGCAGGTTGCTCAGAGCCCCGTCCAGCCTGACCTGGGATGTTCCCAGGGAAGAGACATCTACCACATCTCTGGGCAACCTGGGCCAGGGTTTCACCACCCTCATGGTGAAAAATTCCTTCCTTATATCTAGTCTAAATCAGCCCTGTTTTAGTTTAAAACCATTACCCCTTGTCCTATCGCTAGAGGCCCTGCCAAAAAGTCTGTCCCCATCTTTCTTATCAGCCCCCTTTAAGCCCTGGCAGCTGCACTAAGGTCTCCCCAGACCCTTCTCTGCTCCAGGCTGAGCCCCCCCAGCTCTCCCAGACTGTCCTCCCAGCAGAGCTACTCCAGCCTTCGGAGCATTGCTGGGGCCTCCTCTGGCCCTGCTCCAACAGGTCCATGTCTCTCCTGTGCCAAGGGCTCCAGAGCTGGACGCAGCACTGCAGGGGGGTCTCACCAGAGCAGAGTAGAGGGGCAGAACCCCCTCCCTCACCCTGCTTTGAGTGCAGCCCAGGACACAGTTGGCTTCTGTGCTACGAGTGCACATTGCCGGCTCATGTCCAGCTTTTCACCCACCAGGACCCCCAGGTCCTTCTCCATGGGGCTGTTCTCCATCCCTTCATCCTCCAGCCTGTGCTGATACCGAGGGTTGCCTTGACTCAGGTGCAAGACCCTGCACTTGGCCTTGTTGAACCTCATGAGGTTCACATGGGCCCATTCCTCAAGCTTGTCCAGGTCCCTCTGGATGGCATCCCATCCCTCAGGGGTGCCAACCGCACTACTCAGCTCACTTCTCTGTAAGATACCCATGTTGGCTACCAGCAAGCACTTCCCAAGCTTTGTACACCATTTCTACATCCTACACACCTTCCAAAACAACGTCAAGCCCAGAGGCAGGCAGCACTGCTATTCTCTGTTTGCCTGCAAGTGGACACTCTCAAGACCTGACTGCAAAAAGCCCTGAGCAACCTCCCTGACCTCACAACTGACCGTGCTTGGAGCCAGAGATGGGGCTGGAGACCTCCAGAGGTCCCGTCCAGCCTGAACTGCCCAGTGACTCCATGCCAGTGACATCAAGATCTCCCCAGACACATACAAAGATGTTTTCATCATCCCAATCACTTAACATGTTTCAGGACGGCTTTATGTCTCAGGGAAATGTATGCACTCACTGTTGGGGACAGAAGCTGTCAGAAAGTGAAGCAGGAGGACCAGTTCTAAGATGGAGGCAGCTGAAGTGTCCTGCCATGGGGCTTGGCCAGGGGATAGCTCATGCTGCTGCATGGCTCGTCTCCCTTGTACAAACAGCACCCCAAGGGCTGCAATGAACCAAGGGAGCTGTGAAAAGGTGTGCAGTGAGAAGCAAAAGGCTCTGCCAGAGATCTAAGAAAGCCCCAGAGCCTGCAGGGACCAATTCTCCAGCACTGGTGGCACTGGGATAGGTGAAGACAGAGTCTGCTGTTGCAGGGGATGGAGGAAGCAGAGAGGCCAGACTGAAGATGCGCAGGCCCAAGAGCAGGAGAAAGCAAGAAAGCCCCTTTTGAAAGGGATTCTGTCACAAACACCAAAATATGTTTTTATACAGGAGTGACCCCCAACGAGAGGGTTTGCACGTGCAGTGCTCCCCCCACAAGCCCTGCCTCGACCCTCACATGTGAACCGAGGGCAGGAGCCGTCAGAGAAAAAAAAACCTGAGCGACGGAAGTGAAAGTACTGTCAATTTAATGTTAGCCGTACAATCAGCGCTAATGACCACTGCCCTAATTACTATAGGTACCACGCGGTAACACAGAATGCCATCCCACCCCAACCGCACAGAACTGCGTTTGCAAGAGCATAGATGGGAAGATGTATTGGTGTAACTCAAATTACGTTGACACAGTTACTTCAAGGATGAATTTGCTCCCTGCAGGAGTGATTTTAAATGGAGTACTTTAGGTCCATTAGATGTCATTGGTTTTAGCCCAGTTGCTGGGACAATAGCTATTCTAACAGGGTTTTTAAAATACAGCCTATTTTCACATAATAGAGTATCACTAATTTTTGCATTTAAATGACACTCATTTCAAGAAGTCCTGCTATCAGTAATGGTGGCTGCATAATAAATAATCTTACAGAAAACAAAGTAATGCCCTGGTGCCAGATAGGGGAAAAAAAAAAAAAAGACTTTCTGCAACTCCAAGACTTTAGAGCCTTGACTCCTACCTCAGTTTTCCTTCTACTGAGACAATGTCAAGGCAGCAGGAGGAGCTGGGGCCTAAGGGCCACTGCTGAGTGGAAGAGGGGAAAAAAGGCTGTGATCCACCTGATGAGTTGCATATCATCCCACCAGTGTCATGCCGGTGGCCGGGGACCAGCTCCAAGCCTGGAGAGGGCTGAAAGCAGCACTTACATTCTATTTTACTTTGGATTGTGGACTATTTGTAACTAAATGGGAAACTTACAGCTTATATAAGGAAACTTCAGCCTATGCTTCACCATGGCCATTTGGTTTTTACTACCCAGGGCATGAGACTGGAAACTTAAACCATGAGATGACTTCTGGATCCAGCCGTGCCAGTGGCAGGGGATGCTATGTCCAGCGGCTTGTCACCATCACCGAACCCAGAACAGAAGAGGCTCAGCTGCACAACACTCTTTGCACTTCTTCACGCTCAGGAGGACAGTGAACAGCAAAGTAACTTCTTTCACACTGTCACGCTGCAACGCATTCCACCCCCAAAGGGGTGTGCAGACATTTTTGTAAACCAAGTGGCAGTGGAACAAATAAATCAAAACAGCAGATAAAAATACCATCTAAACAACGGAAAGGAGATCAGCCCGTGGGTTCACCCAAGAGTTTGCAAGTTTTGCATTATTAATTCGAGTCTAATCACACTGGTATCAGAAAAATTAGGGGAGCAGCATCACACCGGGGGGAGCTTACTGACGGTACCAGCTTTGGGTTCAGGAAAGATCCCATAGTTTCACTTTAGTATTGGCACACCGGGAATGGCAGTAAGGAATTCGGTGTCTGGATGGCTCACGAGGATGGTTATGTGGACACTGAGTATCTGGCTTGCTGGCTGAGATGCCACTCACTTGAGTAAACACCAGAAAGCAGCAGCATCTGATGGCAGATTGGTCACTAAAATGCTGATCCCAGTCCACTCCATCACCACAGCCCCTCTCCCCAGACAGCCCCCGGGATAATTATTACCAAGAAACACCCTGAACTGTGAGAACATACTTAAGTACTTATAAGCAGTTTGCAACACAAGGCCTTTAAGTATGAAATGAAGATAACAGACCTGAACAGTTTTCCATTTTTACAGAAAACCCAGGATTAGTACAAAAAGGGGTAAGAGTTTCCAAGGGAACTGTATCACTAACAGACTGGCAAAGGTATTTTAGATCCATATTCACCAAAAGATTACTCTGCACAGTATTTTCCCAAGCAATTACTTTAACCACCGTATTTCTGAGACGTGTAACATAGGATGTTCGCATCCATGTACTGTGCATCGGTTTGGAAACAGGGAACTCACCTTTCTTTCTGCCTTCTCACTTTCCTTCATTTTAGCCAACGCCTTTTTGAGCTCCTGAGATGTGAATGAATTGGAGTCAACATCCACCTTGCCCAGCCTTGCAGAAAAAACATAACAAAGCATGTTCTGAGTGAACAATTGTATCTATAATATTTTCACTGTGAAAATGAAATTATCCTAGCAAAGGATGAGGAAAGGACCTCAGAGCACTAAATTTCCATACATCTCACTTAAAACAGACAAAAAACCTCCACACTCAAGAAAAGATTAAGTCTGAGTGTTACCTTCTGTGTGTGGTTTGACACCTCACCCTAACAATCAAAAAAGGCTCCGTAATCTGCACGCCAACTCAAAATCTCAAGTCCTAAGAGAGCAACAAAACCAGCTGATTAATTTATGCCTCTGAACTTCACGTAGCACTACAGAAAAGCAGGAAAAGTTTCAGAGGAAAAACAAAGAAGTACTACTGTGCTACTAAATTGTTGCTAAGGACTTGCAAGCTTTAACATGGAAATCTACAGCTGAAGTTCCGATGATCATCACACACAAAGTTAGGGCACAGGTAAATCCAAGCAGAAATTACACAGAAAATACTAAAAACATGTTGTGTTCCTCCTTATGTCTATCTCATTGGTTCAGAGAGTGTTTATCTGGGTCACAAACACTCTTGCACAGAAAAAAGAAAAGCCAGCTGTTGATGCATCATGAAGCTAGAAGAATCTTCCCATGGGGGAGTAAGGAAAGCAGTGGTAAACTCCACACACCTTAGGAAGGAAAGTTCCCCACAGTAAATAAACTTGCCTTTGTTAGGAGGGTGCCAAGGGGAAAGTCAGCACCAGTGAAACTTTTAGAACGAATTTTAAAATGTGGGTACAGGGAAAGCTGCATGATTTAAGGAGAACGTTGGCAATAACTCCTGGCAATACATGAATGCTGCAAGCTTCCTGGCTGCACCGAGTTAAAAACAATGTTATCTGGCTCAGGTCAACACAAAGCAAGCCCCTCACAACTGCTCTGGTGGTTTAAGCTCTGAAAGCAGTTTCAGATCAATTGCTGCAGATGTTTCCAAGCGCTAAATGTCGTTCAAAGAAGCCATATTGCAAAGTTAGTTTGTGTCATGACATGAGAAGCTACAAAAATACAGACATACTCAGGGCACTTCTACTGCCATCCTGAAGGGACTGCAAAGGACGGGGCTCAGTTTCCACTGCTGAACTCTTAAATCAGCAATTAAGTCTCAGGAAGAGACAGCAACTGAGCACACCAGGGAATCTGGCCTCTAACGAAATGCTGAATCCTGCAGCCCACCCACTCCTGATGCTTTGCATCACTGTACCTTTTTCTTCTTCTCTCTTCTCTCGTGTCACTTTTTCCATTTTCACTGTCTGGGAGCTTGGCTTCTCTGTCCCCCGTCTGCAGATTTAATCGTACGTGTGATCCTGCAGGAACAGCTTGACCTACAAACAAATGTCAGACTATTTTGGAGCACGTGCATTATTTCAGCTTCGTGCAGGAAGGGTGAGCTGAAGGCGCACACTCCTACCCTCGTCCCGCACGGTGAAGAGGAGAGGGCTAACCGCCAGCGACCACTCTCCCCTCCAGCAAAGCCTCTTTGACCCAAGTGCCATTTTAACCTCGCAGAGATGCCACCCCGACCCACCAAACGCGTCTCCGTGCAGCCGGGCTGGTTGCGTGCCGCAGGGCAAGAGGGACCCCGAGCAGAGCAGAGCACCGGCTCCCTCCTCCCTCCCAGGCAATTCCTAAGACAGCACTAAAACATCAACAGTGGATTTGGAAACTATTTGGAGAAAGGGGAATTGGTTGCTGATTGGGGTAGACAGCATAAAATACAGCCGCCAAAGTGAAATCAAAGCATACTGCAGAGTACAGCCAGGTACGCTGAATATCAAGTGTACCGAGGCGAGGCTGTGCTGGTTTGGAAATATTGTATTAAAAGGAATATATGATCACTACTATCTGCCAAAAAAAAAAAAACCACCACCACAGAATACATTATGCTTTGGTTTTAAATGCAGAAAAGATGGGAAATTCAGAGTGTTTTTTCTTGGCCACAATTCACCACAAGCATGCTGTGATGGCCAGCCGTCGCAGAGCGATGGAGAGGTGGCAATATTTGGTTGCTGCTTCTTGATGTCTCCTCCTCTTCTTTTAATGCTAGAAATCTGCCCGCTTAGGAGAGTGGGGCTGCAGCTGAATGAATATGGAGATCTTAGCTGCACACGGATGGACAGACAAACACACAGCTGCTCATGCTCCTCTCTCTTGATGCGCTTTCCCTATTCAGCCTTTCCTTTATCTGTTTCCTTTTACCTAAAGAGACGCCTAGGATAAAATACCACAGCATGTAGGAGACAGGTAGCATCTCCTACCAAACGGAAGCGAAGACAAGGATAATTGTTTTGTACAATAAATAAAGAAAAAATCCTCTAGTCTAGGGAAGGGCTGGATTGATCCCCCCTCTTCAAGATCAAAGCAACGTTTCACTGATCAAAGGACCTGGTGCTTCCTACAACAGACTGGGATGTTTGTCACAATTCAGACAAAAACATTTCAAAGCCTAAAGCAATCCAGAAGGTATAAATGCATTTAGAAAAAACAGGAGAATCCATTTTGGAGGATTTACTATTAAAGCAGGGTGCGTTTTTGATAGCTTCTCTTTCTTTCCACCATATCCTGTCCATAGGAAGTTGTGTTAGTTGGATATGCGAGGGGGTGTACTTGATTATCTTCCCATCATAAACTTAAAACATGCAAGGACAGGCTAGATATGCCTCCTCCACCCTTGGCACACTTTCTTCCAATAGACCCAATCCTTCTCCTGCTCCTTTACTCATGATACACAGGAGCTTTAATCTTTACGTCTATCTAGAGGAGCATCTTCCCACTTTCAAAAGGTGAGCTTTGCGGGAATTCGCTGCGATAGCAGAGCTGTCCCCCTCGCAGGCGATGCAGCCGGGACATGCCAGTCGAAAAGGAGTTCATAGGATCGCCACAAAAAGGACAACACTGCATCTCCTCTCCCTGTTTCAGGAGACGCCGAGGTAGTGGACTGCCACCAAGGAAAAAAATAAATTACAGAATGGTATTATGTGCTGAACATACACAGATGCATGAGGACATCATCTTCCTCCTCCACAGGCACGAACGCCACTTACAGGAGAAAGCAAGGGGCAAGCTGGGTCCTTCCCTTCCCTTCCCAAAGCCAGCGGCTTTCCTCAACGGGTCACAGGCACTGGGACAGCCCAGGACACCCAGGACAGCCCAACAACTTGCTGAAGCAAGTCCTGAATTGCCAAGCACAGCCAGAAATAAATGTCCCCGTTAGAAGAGTACAGTATATTCTGGCTGTCGTGCTCCTGGTGCATCTGGCCACATCAGTTCACTCAGTTGCCAGGGGAGAGGAACGAGGCTGATGGGCTTTTCTCAAAAGAAACACCAAAAGGGAAAGCAAGGCAGCAGCCTCCAGAAGGGCTGAGCGACTCCCATGTGACCAGTCCTCCCAGTTTCTATTTTCAGCGAGCGGTAAATATAAGAAAATGCGAACGCCGGCACATACGAGCTCACAAACCCAGCACAACCAAATTAAGGAGGTTGCCACCAGCAAAGACACAAACCTTTCCTGCTTCTGCTTCTTTGCACGTTCCTAAAGGAGATTTGACCGAGACCATCCAAACCCCAGAGCGGAAATCTCAGCTCCCTTTCATTGCTACAGGGATTTCTTCCTGCCACTGTGCGCAGCAGCAGAGGTTTATGCCACAGCAGGACAAACATACTGCTTTATTAACTAACGCAAGAAAGACATCTCTGTTTTCAGCAAAAAGATTGGTGTAGTCACTTAAAATGTTCCAGATGTCTGAGACAGGAGGAGGTCTTCAGTCTTGTTTAGTTTGGGGTAGTTTGAAGTATTATTTACAAAGTGTGTTGGAGGGTGGGTTGACTTGAATAATGTGATTAAAATCGCCGATTTAAACGAGCAAGCTGGAAATCCTGAATTTTAATCATGTTTCAATATGTAGCTTCCAGACACTTCCCTTAAAAACAGTCGATTCTCTTTGATTCCTATAATTTGATACTGTTCAACAACTGGGAGCACACACCGGAGCAATACATTTGTAAGCAATTACACAGCTTCACATGCTGTTGATACAAAATCACACTCTTAATAGCTTTTTTTCCTAGAGGAATTCATTATTTACTTATTGTTTTTATTAAGTTGCATTTGGGAAATCAAACTCAATTTAAAAATATAAGAACAAGTTTATATTTAAGCAATTTTCTGACCTTTTTCTCCTTGACACCTTAAGAAAAACAAACGACGTCTACCCAAACAGGTATGCATTGCGTATCTGCATTACTGAATGCAGCTGAATGGTCTCACTGTCCAGAGATTTCCAAATCCTACAGCCTCTAGATCTCATCCTGTCCTACTCCCTTGCTCCTTATAAAGGGAGAGTTTCCATTCTAATTAATTTCCCACCTCCGAATCATCTACCCAGCGAGCAGAAATAGCTGCAAAAACCCTTCCATCAACCTGCAGAAAAGGCTGTAGCCATCAGAGAGGGAAGCCAGCAAACTCCTTCCCCCACAATGGGTTTGTATGCTTTACCACTTAAAAAATATCCCATCCTTGGAACTTTTTAAACCACAATTGAAATGACTTGAGGACACGTTACTGTATCAGTTTGGGTTGCTGGACCTAAGAGAAAGCCGTGGCGTTTCGGCAGGCCACCCAGCATCCCCGACGGGGACGTGCCGTCCGTCAGCCCCTCAATCACTCAGCCCTTCGCCTCACAGCCAAAAAGATAGCATCCAGCAGGTAAAATGCTTCCAGAGGATAACGAACCCTTGCCACCGCAGGAATGACAAGATATTTATTGGGAATAAACGTCAAAGCAAAGCGACAGCATTTATTTGCCAAAGCTGATCCTGTGGCAACACGCTGCTATGACAATGCTATTCCTGTTCTCCCGTTTAATCCCTTTATCTATTGGCACCCGCTGCGGCTGCAGAAGCATCGGGACAGCTTTTGCTCTCCTGCGCAGGCTGGAGCACAACCGCTTTCTGACTTAGACCGCTCTCCGGACGAACCGTCGCCGTGCCTGGGTGCTGCCACACGTCCAAGCATCCGCAGCCGAAAAACACGTGTCTTTTGGAGGTCTTCCCAGTGCATTAGCATTCGTCATATTTAGATGTGTTCAGTCTGCCCTGAAAGTTGCTTAAAGTGACGCCAAGGAAGAATTTAATTTATAGCCCTATTCTTTTAATCTTGGTCAGCCAGATTTTTTCAGACATCCGTTTATTTCTTCTTATAATATATTAAAGTAACAGCACTGGCGTAGGCTTCAAGGCAGCAACTCACTCGCAGGGGTTCTGCTGACATTTATAAACTGATCCTATTTCTCTCTTGTGTTTTATGTCATCAGCTAAACCTGTCGACTTAAATTATTGCCTTGTAACCAAATCACAGTTATCTATTATTCTGTTACGTGTACGTTTCTGAAGCTCTATACCTTACCAAGCTTTGCAGAGGTTGAAAACAAGATGATAAATAAATAAGCAAATGGAAAACAGAACACATTTCCACCACGCTCACAACTAAGGCAAGAATCAGGCACATTATATACGGGATTACTAAAATCAGAGGGCTGCTGTGCTGAATATGCAGCATGTAGTAATACGCAAGTAACCCCATCTCTCCTTTTCTAGATGAACCAAATGACCGTGTTTCCTCACCATGCGAGAAAGGTCTTGTCCTGCTCAGCTCCTTTCCAGCATATTATTCCATTTAGTGCTGGCCACAAGTAGTGTTGCATCTCTGCACACCAACTCACTACACAGCAGCAGGCAGGCATTACAAAAAACCAGGGAAGTTTTATGCCATACCTGGACATGCGGATCTCGCACTGAGATGGTGCAGTAACTCACTATGCTCCTGGCAGCGGCTTCCCCATCCCCTACCCACCCCTTGGGCCCCCGAGCTGCCACCCATCGACCTGCCCAGCAGGAGAAGCCCAGGGGGCACATGAAACTCTCCCCCTCCAGAAACACCTTCTGGCATTACTTTGTCCCCTACGGCAGAAAAGTATTCCCCTGGGAAGGCATCTGCAAGCAGAAAAAAGGGTGATCCAGCTTGCCAAGGCAGGTCCCCGGTTCCCTCCCAAGTGAGCATCCTCATTTGCCATTAAAAAAAAAAAAAAAATCTATTAATGGTGTGAAAACAAACCACAGTTATGAGTCAGTAACTGGCTCTGCAGTTCTCAGAAATCACCTTGGTATCTCAGCAAACGTCAGATAGCATCTACCTTTCTTTACTCTTTGTTTCTCTCGGCGCAGGGGAGTGAGGGGAAAGGCACTTTCTTTCTAATACAGGCAACAAAAGAATCCGCAAATCAATATGTAAATGTTCCCAGCAAAACAAACTGGCAGTGCTGCGATA